AAAAAATGTTTAAATTCAGCAGAAGTAAATTGTCTTCCATTGTCTTGAACCAAGATGCTGATTAAACCAAATCGTGAGAAAATTTCTCTTAATTTACGAATGACAAATGCAGACGTCATATCCTTGGTTTTGAAAACTTCAACCCACTTGGAATATGAATCGATTGCAAGAAACAAATAATAGCCTCGAACGGGACCTGCAAAGTCAATGTGAACACGTTTCCAAGCTGAATCAGTGGGTGTCCACGGCATGAGAGTACTTTTCTCAGGACTTGCTTGAGTCTTTTGACAATAAACACAACCTTTTATCAAATTTTCAATTTCTTTGTCAATATGCGGCCAATAAACATATGAACGAGCTAACGCTTTCGTTTTTACAATTCCCATGTGCGATGCGTGAAGGTCTTGCAAAATGATCTTACGCAGAGCATTTGGAATGACGGTGCGATAGCCCCAAAGAATGCAACCTGATTCAACAGATAATTCAGTTGCTTTGTTTCGAAATGATGTATATTCACTGCCTTGAAGCTGATCGACAGTTCCTTGTTGAATACAATCGTGAACCTTTGATAAAATTGGATCTCGTCGAGTGCGTACAGCGATAATTTGTGACTACGAAATCGGTTAACTTTTCAATTCGATGGGCGCTGCCATATTGAAAATTTACGTGCGATATGGTGCATGCACTCAATAGTTCCACTTATTTTAATAAGGAATCTCTATAGGTGGCGCTGCCACATCGTCATTGACATCGAGTCAAATATCGTAAAATATAATAACATTGTTTATATAGGCTTTTATCGCAGTACGGTCGAGTGTGTGTGGCTATATCTTTGTACGTTAATGTTTTCATGATGTTTGAACCTACATAATTTATGTATGAACTCTCCTTGGTTTCTTCCGCTGTAGAAACTTGTGCAATACGTGATAAACTATCAGCCGTATTCAAAGAACCTTTAATGTACTGAATAGAATAATTGAAACCAGACAAAAGAAACGCCCATCTCTGCATACGAGCAGCGGCCATTAAAGGAATGCCTTTATTTTCGCCAAAAATTGCTATCAACGGCCTGTGATCAGTCTCAAGCTGAAAAACATGCCCAATAAATATTGTCTTAACTTAATCACACTAAAAATGATGGCTAATGCTTCTTTTTCTATAGTACTGTAATTCTTTTCTGCATTATTTAATGCGCGTGAGACATATGCAATAGGTCTCTTGGTTCCATCGTCATATTTATGAGATAAAATACCAGCAATGGCTGTATTACAGGCATCTGTAGACAAAATAATTAATAATTTCGGATTAAAATGAACTAAAACTCGATCAGAACAGATTTCTGTTTTCATGTGTTCGAATACATTTTGACAAGCCTGATCCCATTTAAATTCAACATTTTTTTGTAACAAATGGTAAAGCGGTGTCATTTTCTGGGCGAAATTTTCGATGAAAAATGAATGATGATTTACCATGCCAATAAATGCTCTTAATTCAGAGACATCCCTTGGTCGTGGTGAATTGAGAACGGACTTGATTCGTTCTTTGTTCCGACTTAAACCATTTTTGTCAATGTCAAATCCTAAATAAGAAATTTTTTCCTTGAAAAATTCACATTTGTTGACGTTTAGTCTGAGACCGGCTGTCTGAAGTTTAATCAAAACTTGTTTTAGCGTTTTCAAATGATCTGCTAGAGTTGGCCCGGTGACAACAATGTCATCTTGATAACAGAATACATTTGAGAAGCAACTTAGGAGATTTTCCATGGTCTTTTGAAAAAGTGCGGCGGCAATTTTGACGCCAAACGGTAAACGTGTCATTTTGAAAATGCCTTTGTGTGTACTCCATGTACACAATTTTTGTGCTTCATCGTCTAAAACTAACTGATTGTATGCATTCGACATGTCAAGTTTAGTAAACAAAATACCTCCTTGCATTGAAGCAAAAATTTGATCAATCCGTGGCAATGGATATTTGAAATCGATTAAAAATCGATTAATTGTGACTTTGTAATCACCACAAATGCGAATATCGCCAGAAGGTTTCAATAATGGCACAAGAGGTGTAGCCCAATCCGAATTGTCTACTGGAATAAGTATTCCTTTTGAAACGAAGTCATCTAACTGTTTCGCTATCATATCACGCCATGCTAACGGAACAGGGCGAGGTTTGCAAAAAATCGGTGTGACATCTTTTTGAATGGGTAATTTAATGGTCGTGACGCTATACTTTCCCAAACCGCAACTAAAAACTTCGTGAAACTCACTTTTGATTGAATCAATCATTTCGTTGGGCGCAAAAATATTGTTGACGCGATTTGTTTGTACTAATTCAAAACTAAAAGCACGCAGAAAATTTCTACCTAACAAAGTCGGTCGGTCACTGTTTGTCACTACAATTATTCCTGATATCTTTTGACCTTTGTAATTAACAACTGTTTGAAACTCACCAATGATCTTCAATGGGTCACCTGTGTATCCGGAGAAAGGTGTGTTGCATGGTTTCAAAACTCTTCGATCAAAGTATTTATCAAATGTGTGAATTGATATGAGCGAACATGGTGCACCAGTGTCACATTCAACCGTAAGCCTGACTCCATCCACAAGCACAGTTAACTCATAGCGATCGTTCCCTTCCGAGCCCTCAATTGAATAAATTGGGTAGTCATAATTCGTCACATCGCATGGTTCAATGCTAAACGTAGAAGTGGAATTACAAACAGAATTAGAAAGATTTTCACTAGAAATTGAACAATTTTTATCAAAAAAATTAACAAAATTGACGTTATTCTTCACACTCAATATTATAGCGACATCTATTATTAAAATAGCTTGTAGTAAATGCATTTATAGCATTTCCCTGTAGTTGCGATGTTTCCTATTAAGTTCCCTTGTAGTACTGACACATTCATGTTTGACACTTGTTAACTACATACCACAGGGGAATTTAATAGGTAACATCGCAACTACAGTGAAATGCTATGAATGCGTTTACTACAAGCTATTTTAATAATAGATGTCGCTATAATATTGAGTGTGTTATCCTTCTGCTTGCAAATGTTGGCTAGGTGCCCAGTTCGTCCACAGGAATGGCACTCGCTGTCCTTGTATTTGCATGATGATGATGTGTGGTTCTTCCAACCACAATGCCCACATGGTTTTTTCGATTTCCCGTTACCGTAGCTCTTCTTGCGATTGTTGTTGTTGTTGCCGTTGCTGCTGCTTTGCTTGCCACGCGCTTTGATGAAATTCACGTCCACGCTGCTGTTTTGCGATTGTTGAATTTTTGTTTCTTTCATCATCGCCTTTTTCAATGCAGTTTGCAACGTCAGCGTTTCGTCTTCTTCGCAAAGTTTTTCGAATATTTTGCTTGGCAATTCAACGACAAATTTGTCCAAAACGATACGTTCCAAATCACCAGCGACGAATTTGCAATCGAGTGATAGCCTCTTCACACGTGCGAACCACGATGCTACACGTTCGTCGGCTCCCATTTTCGCTGCGTAGAAATTTCTTCGCTCGTTGAAAACAATTACGGGTGGTGTGTAATGCGCTTTCATCAACGCACACAAATCGTTGTACTTCTCTTTGCTCGGTAATTTCGGACTGCATAAACAATGCAGAATTTGATATGCTTCTGCTCCGATCAATTTCAATAAAATTGAAATTTTTTGCTTTTCGTCTGTGCACTCAATTTCGACAAAATGTAATTCGAGACGTTCGAACCACAAATTCCAATTCTCTGTCGGGTTAAACTCCGGCATCGATGATGCGGTGATGATTTTCGTGTCCGTCATTTTTCGTTGGTCGATGATTTTCATGTAATGCACAGATGTTCAGAAAAAAAAATAGTTTTTCTTACGATTACTTTTTCGATGTAAAAAAAATTTACGGTGAATTTGCTGAGATCTTGAGATTTTTTTCTCGCAGTACTTTTTCGATGTAAAAAAATTACGGTGAATTTGCTGAGATCTTGAGATTCTTTTCTCGCAGTAATACTTTGAGTTGCCCTTTTGTCGCCAATGTGATGTATCTCAGTTGAGTGTCGGAAACAGAAGAAAGTCTTTATTCAATGTTCTTACTAGCTAATGTCACAATGGTTTTATTCTAGTTGACAATGTGTGTGAATGGCGCTGTGATATAAATGTAGTAATAGATTAAGTAGTTTCACACTTGTTATAATGATGTACTTTACGTACTCTACAAACAATGCAGACAAAATATGCTTAATTGATCCTTTCAAGGTCGGACTGGCGATTTCCTAAACTTAATGGTTAAGTTCAATACATGATAATTCCGTTTCAAAGAGTCATTTTAAATTCATTGCAACAGTGCAAAAATTCATGTGTGTACTCCGCAGTGAAAAAACAACTTGTCAGTGCTCAGGCGAAAAAATGCGCGAAAAAAGCGTTATTAACATTGTATCTTAAATACAACGAGCAAATTGAGCGAGTCAACGTGATAGAAGATCTGGGAGTTATACTCGATCATAAATTGAACGCGTGAGAATAAAAGCCTGACGCTAGCAGTTTTTTCGCAAAAGCGGGATAACAATCAGTTGCACGCAAAAGAGACATTTCAAAAGGTTACACGCAAACGGAACATTTTATTTTGTCGCATTTTGAATTTTAAAGCCGTTATTACGAAAACAATACTCTTACTCTTTACTTCTCTCTTGCGTGCAACTGATTTTTATCCCGCTTTTGCGAAAAACCTGGTAGCGTCAGTCTTTTATTCTCACGCGTTCAATTGAACTTTACTGCACACATTGAATACATTACAGCCAGAGCAAAATCACGTTTGGCCTGGATTAAACGATTTGGTAGAGAGTTTGAGGACCCATGGACCATAAAGAGACTATTTAACACATTTGTCCTTCCGATTGTCGAATATGCATCTCAAGTATGGAACCCATACACAGCTGAAAAGATTGCCCGAATTTAAAGGTGTCAAACGAACGAACACAAAATTGAAAAACGCTGTTCGTCCGTCCTTTTTGTGAAAACGAACGAACAAAATCGATTTCGTTCGTCCTTTTTGAGAAAACGAACGAGCCAAATCGGTTTTGTTCGTCCTTCCTCGAAATGGAGGACGGAAGGACGGACAAACTTTGTTCGTTTGACACCTTTACCCGAGTTGAATCCATCCAGAAACAATTTCTGTTGTTTGCACTTCGTAAAATGAAATGGCCACACAGATTTAGGAAACCACCATATGAATGTCGACTGCTTGAATTACAAATGATAACGCTCGAAGAACGGAGAAAAGTAGCCCAAACATCACTCGTTCATAATGTGATGTGTGGACATACATCATCGAAACACATTTTGAGCAAAATAAATATTAGAACATCGCGACATGGGACAAGAAACTCAAACATCCTATCATTACCAATGCGTCATCGTGATTACTCAAAGTTCGAGCCTATAAATTATATGCTGATGACATACAATGAATTTTATAAATATTTTGTTCCTATCAAACCGCCTAATCTACCTAATGAATGCAATGTTACTACGATTCCAACTTGTGATACTTATTTGATTGATTTTAACACAAATACAAATACTGTCAAACATAGAGTTGCCGAATATTTTAGAAGAAGCAGAATTTGGAGAGAGTACAGCGGACGCTCGGAATTCTTAAGTTTCGGAAATCTTAATTGTCCAGAAAACTTAAGCAGTTTTTGCTTTGTATGTAACTTCCTAAAATCTGAAGATTTGACTTAAGTTTTCTGAATAGGTTCACATTTTTTTTTTCATTTTTTTTTTTGAGTTCAACTTAATAAAATCTCATTGTATGCAACGTAGATTTGAATGATTCCATAAATTTTTGATCATCAAACAAACGATTTTTAGCACAAATAAACAATTTATGCATTCATAAAAATCGTCAAATTAAAATATCGAAACATGTTGATTTCCAACATCATTGCCCAAGATGATGTATCGGTTCACGGTGCTCTTCGAAGCCATGATCTCAAAAATACTATTTTGCTTTTAAAGTCTGCATGGGGTGTTTTGCCAGTTAGCATTATTGAAAAGTCATGGGCAAAGATTTTGAATTGGGATGATGGAGAATTGGACGAAAAGGACAACTTTCCATTAGCAGAATTGGTACATCAAACTGAAACTGATGCTCACCGTGACGAAATTGAGGAAACGTTACAGTTATTATCAAAACTCACACCAAATTGTGTTTTATCCATTGATGAAATCGAAAATTGGAATGCTGATGCGTTTGATGAAACTGATGTTGATGAAACTAATAGCGAAGAAGATGACGGTGCTGTTGGAAACTCAGTTTCCGTTTCATACACCGATGCAATCAGTGCGGCAAATATGTTAATCAAATGGAGCGAGCAGAATGCGGATTTGACTGCCAAGCACATGTCGAATCTTCTTCAACTTCGATCAGATATTGTGATGAAACAAATACTGGAACCACCGAAACAAACCACAACCTTTTTTACGCAATCAAATGAATAATTTGTTTTCCGTACTTATATGAACTAACATATAAAATAAAAAATGAAATAAAAATAAAATAAATATTTCTAGAATATTTTACACACAAATTTGATTAAATTGACTGTGATGCTTCGAAAAACCATTAATAAAAGCAAAAAACATATGGCATTGTAATATATTGGTGTTTTTCTTTAAAAAATGTTAATTTTGAAAACCGTCCAGAAATCTTAAGAATTCGGAAAACTTAATTTGCCCAAGGACAAACTACTAAAGAATTCCGAGCGTCCGCTGTAAAATGAAATATTTAAAATATCAAATTGTAAATATTGTAAATATAAAATAATATTTATACCAAATAAACCACCTCTGGCGAAGAAACGCTGTATGGTACAGAATAATAATAATAAAAAAAAAATTACAGGTGCGTCGATTGTTTCAATCATTTTGAAGTTAGACCTCATTTTTGAAAAGTGAATTCGAAATAGATAATAGAAACCCAGTCTTATCTAGCTGACTTTTAATAACTTTTGTTCATGTGATCATTTCACTTGATTTCAGGATTGGACCACTTGTACGTTTCAAGTGAAAGGAATTCGACCGGATATGACTTCGTTTCGTGCGATTAATATCGTCCAACCAATGGCTCGAGAATTGGTTGTGTTCTCCCCCACCAATGTTCCCCCCGTCAATCTAAGTGGCTCTTCGTCTTCAAGGTATATAAAGATTAAGTTCTCTTCTCGAAGTTCGTTGTATATTCAAAGTTTTTTCAATAGGCTGAAAAGCAGGGGGTTTGTAGATTGAAACACAAGCACACTAGCGCCGCAGTTTGCCCTACAATATCATATATGGCAAGCTGCAGAACTATTCATTCAGCATATATCATGCAGCTTCACTGTCAATCTGTAATCCCCCTGCTGAAAAGAGTTCATAAAATAGATTTTATTTAGCATTTAATGACATATTTTCATGAATAATTTCAATTACGCTATAAGTAATTTTACCTAGTTTTAGCGGAGCTTTCAGTCAATATCATACAGTTTTAACTCATTTGAAGAAAAAAAATACTAGCGCTGTGTTTTTCACATCAGATATTTCTTAACATTATTTCTATGCGTGAGATTGAGAGTAGTGTATGTTTCACAGACTTTCCAATAGTCAGCAAAACTTTAAATTATCTTATTATTTCAACCGTCGGTAAAATCGCTAAAAACCACATGTAAAAATACTCTACATTATCAAAATATAAGTCGAAAAATAATAATCATAAACTACTCCATGCACGCGACATGCACCATACAAACAAAGTTTCGTACAGGCAGCGCATGAGTACTGCGTAGTGAAAAAAAGTGAAACTTGCTAGTCACCAATATTGATGTTCACAAACATCAAATCGTTTATGCGTTATTTCGCCCATTTTATGCACTAAAAATATAAAGTTTTTTAATTAGTAGCTTTTTTTCACATAAAAATCTAAAGCAAGATGATTTTTTCGTTGATGGTTGTTCGAATTCAAGTGTAACACAAATGCACGAAACTCTCTAAGAATGGCCGTAATAAGTATTCTTCTTCAATTCAAACTCAATCAATTCCAAGAGATTATGAATAGAAAGAAAATAATCATCTCCGGCGTGATTATTTCAAAATTAAAACTCGATTTTTAACTAAATGAAAAGAATTACATTCGTAATCCCGAACTTTTCCGTACCGTTGTCCGTCCTTTTGGTTTGTTCTGTGAACTTTCTTGAAATAAAGGCAGTTTTCAAGTGAAAAATCGGCCAATTATAGTCGACATTTCGAAAATTTTGCATGGAAACGACTCCGATTGGCTCAAAATTGTCTGAGGTTTCATTTTTTTGGCGAAAAATAAGATTTTGAAAGTTTCATGTTGATCGCATTGTCGAAAGTTTGGTTTTTGGTCCTCAATTTTCTCCAATGAAATTTCGACAAAAATTGAGGGCTACAAATCAAACTTGTGCAAATGCGATCAACATGAAACTTTCAGAATCTCATTTTTTCTCCAAAAAATGTAACCTCAGAAAATTTGAAGCCAATCGTAATCGATTTACGTACCTTCCATGCAAAATTGTCGAAAAATCGATAGTTTTAGTCAAAATATCGAAAATTTTGAATGGGAGGTACCCGTAAATCGATTACGATTGGCTTCAAACTATCAGAATTTGATTTTTCCCCCGTAAAATGAGTTATGAAATTGTTCCACTTCACTGAAATGGCAGTTGACTTCACACAAATTGCATTCCAAATGATGATTTTCAAAAATGATAATTTGCCATGAAAAACGTAACTTTTGTTCGGGAGGTACCTCAAAA